GGCTAAGGTAACCTGTGGTCCTGAATTTTCGTGTTCTCATTCTTCTATGTTATCTTGCGTATGGTTATTTTTCAGCTGATCTTTTCTGGTGTTTTTGTGTTTTCTAAAATATGCTTCGATCCGGTTTGTTCCTGTGTTTTTTTATCTAGTTATTTTTCACTTTTCGAGTCTACAGACCTGTTAATAATGCTCCAGTGCAACGCAAAACAAAACAGGATAAAATATATATCTGAATTTCCTCTCCTCGGTGTTGTCACCAAGGGCAAAACCCTATGACTTTATAACACTCAGCCGGCCTTCCATCCCGGCTCTCTCCGCAGGTCGCACCAGCGGACCCACACGGGCGAGAAGCCCTACTCGTGCCCCCACTGCGACGCCTGCTTCCGCGACACCGCCAGCCTGAAGGCGCACCTGAGATCGCACGCGGGCGAGAAGCCCTACGCGTGCCGCCTGTGTCAAGCTTCGTTTGTCAACCTGACTACATTCACGAGCCACTGGAGGATGCACGGCGCCGGCGACGCGCAGTGAGACAAGGCTGCATCAAGTCCTTATAGTTCGTAAAAACCCAAAGGCGGCTGTGGACTGAGCTTTAAACCTTTGCCACAAGCACTGGTTCTTGCTTGATATCTTCAGCGTGCACGGTGAGGTTCGGCTTCAAATGATCGTGTTGTATTTTGCCCAAGGTCAGGCGGTGACCCGTGAGCCTTCGTCGGCTCTGCCCTCAGCGCAGTCTGTGGCACCGTGCTCAGTCCGGAAGGGAATCATGAGGTGGAACCCAGCCTTTCCCAAGACTTCAGGAAACGCTAAATCAAGATATAGAAGACTGATATTTGTTTTATGTATTGAAAGTTTCTGCCGCGTCAGCATCTAAGATCATTAGGGGCGCATTTATGGTTAATGGTTTAAAAGCAAAATAAACATGCTAGTTAAAGGATTTGCTGTGTGAATGGGCTATGGTTGGTCTAGGTAAGGGAGTTTCACGTGTGCATCCAGAGGGAGTGGAAATGATAGAGGGGATGGAGGGAAGGAGAATGTACGTGTAGTTGGAGTTGAGGGGGGTCGGTTGTGTTGGGAGGGAGTAGGAGGAAGTGGTGCAGGGGGAATATGAGTGGGAAGGGGATGGGTAGCGGCAGTCACTTCGAGTGTGGAGGGAGCATGAGTTGTGGAATTTTGTGACTCAAGCATATAGCTTTGAATATCTTTCATAGTTCCTGTAGTGGAGTTGGTTGGAGAGTTTTGTGGGACAAAGGTCTTCTTATGTGGAGGTGTGGGGATAGACTGGTGTCTGAGGAATAAAAGTAAAGGTAGGTGGAGGTGAGTGTGCGGCGGAAGGGGAACGTTTAGTCATTAGTCGGGGTGCGGGGAGGGAAGAGGGGTGGTGTTGGGGCTGTAGTTGAGATTGGGGTGTCTGGATTTAGAGTAGCAATGGTTAATGGTTAAATGCGAAATAAATGTGCTAGACATCTAAGGTCATATAACACTATAGGAAGGTATAGTAAAGGGTGATGTCTGGTGATAGTTGCTATGCGTCAACTATCTAGAGTAATGTTGGAAAGTTGAAGATGGGTAAGGGGTTGATGAGTGACAGGGTTATCGTGGTTTAGGTAAGGGAATTAGATCAAGTGAAGGATATTTATACGTCTGAGGTAGGAGAACAGGTTGTCAAGGCAGAAGCTGTGGGATTCTGCAAGGATGTGATGGGAGGTAGGTGAAGGGAGGCTAGGTGTGGAAAAGCAGAGGTACGTGCTGTATTGAAGCGTGGACAGGACAAGAGAATGTGTGGAACTGAAAGACGGACATTACATAGAGGACATAGGGGTGGGTCAGAGCGTGACATTAGATAGGTATGTGTTAGGCGGGTGTGGCCAATACGTAAGTGTGCGAGGGCCGCCTCCCAACGTCTGTTCCTGTGAAATGGAGCTGACCAAGAGGAGATTGATGGTTTTACAGTATGTAATTTATTATTGTGGAGGCTTGACCAAAAAGATTGCCATCGGGTATACAAGGTTTTAAAGTGGGGGTAATAATCCGTAGCTGGAATATGTGAGAAGCGTAGTTGAGGTGATGTGGACATTGCGGCATAGCATGTAGGAGTATCTGCCTGTTCATTGCCAGGGATTCCGACATGGCTGGGCACCCAGCAAAATCTGATAGATTTACGGTTCCCGCAGGCCGTTCAGGACTGGCACAAGGTCAGCCTTTCATCCTTTCAGCACGGCTCTTACACCTTAGGAAGTAGATGGTAGAAGGGGTTGGAGAAGGGACGCAAACAAAAAACTGGAGGGGGAAGAGACCATGCAAAATTAGTTGAGTCGAGGGCTGAGGCCCTAGGCAGGGGAGATTCCTGCATTGGGTCTCAGTCTCCGTCTCCTAAGCCCCCCCCACGACAACAACGGGCAAGGGATTGTGGGGGCTGAAATATGTGAGCTTAGATAACATAAATGATTTAGAATTTTCGTGACCAATACTTCTATTGGGAAGCAAAAGACAAACATTTTTTATTTTAATGTTTACTGATTAGGAGGGTACAATACCATAATCTTCAAGATTTGGGCAATATACACAACTATACAAATACTGGAACTCAAATGTACAAAAGGTATTTTTCAGCCAATCATTCTGTGCAGCAATATATTCAATACCATATATACTGTACTATTATATACATTTATTTTATTTAAGGTACATACACAGTATGTTGAACAGTATCCACTGATAATAATAAATATTAAAAAACTTCTTCCATGCACTCAAACAAAGACTCTCACTCGATGCCCAAGTGTCCCCTGTCGTCTGTGCACCTGTCTACCAGCCGTCAACAAACACTCCTTAAAGAGGCATGCACAGAAGGAAAGGTGCATTGCCATTTTATCTCCTTTTCCTTTTATCCCTAAGGATGCACATTAGCACAGGCAAAAGAAAACTAATGACTTGTGAAATGAAAGCAAGGCAAAAAAAAACAAAAAAACTGTATATGCATAATGAAATGAAACTGTACATGATATACGCAGCCACTGCTTCTTGTCCTCGCAGGGGAGCAGCTCTATTTCCACTTCCTTCATCACCTGCCTTGGAGCATGACAAACAATTTAAGGTCATTATGTACAACTTCAGAATATATGCACAAGCATGAGTGCGCATGATGCACACACACAAAGACTTAGCTCTGTGCAATGTCTGGTTTTGCACAGACACACTTTATTATAGGAACAATCTGGATGATTAGATAAGGTAGTGATATTCTAGACATTCCAAAAGTAGTCTGCTTTCATGTGGATGATTCCCAACAATGGAAATGGCGATGGAGACCTCAAGAACTATGGCCAATAATAACAGCAATAAGGTGAACATCATAATTTATTTTTCAACAGATGTGATCAAACGTGAAAAAAAGGCTTTGATAAGTATGAAAATTAAAAGCAATGATTAACTCACTTCAAAAACAGGAAAACCAGGAATGAATATAGGATAAAACAGAAAGAACTAATGAATAATAAATGTTTATATATATTTACATAAATATATATTTGTTTAGACCAAAGGTCTTTTTAAGCATTTACAGTCTTTTTCATTTCGTCTTTTGCAAACTCTTGTTTGAATTCTATGCCTATACAAACAAGACTACATCCATCTCTCTCTCTCATTCCAAAAGTTATTCTTTATAAGTTTAGTGTATTGTATCTTTACATTCATTCATTATTTTGATGAAAAATAAATAAGATACACAATTTTCTCAATTACAAGACAGAAAAGAAAACTAAAGAAAAAAAAATTCAAAACCTAATATTAATTACTATAAAAACAAGAAAGAAATGAAGAGAAAAAAAAAAGAAAGAAAAGAAAAACATTACATGCAAAAGACACAAACATGCATCCAGACATCTAAGCTTCTGCTCTTTATATATTAGCTTTGTTTCTTTGATTTTCTCCAAAAGGACAATAAATTCAATTGCCACACATTCCATGTCATAAAATCTTGATATAATTATTTGCTTTTTCACACTGTTTTGTTGTTGTTTGGTTTTACTTTAACAGTGTTATAAGCTAAACATTTCCTGAAGGACATAACGTAACCAGTGAATTGCACAGGTGTTCAACTTTAACAAATAATGATTTTTTTTTTGCCTAAAACATATAATGGAAAATATCATGCACTGTAATTACTGTTTTGTACAAATTAGATGCTGCAAAACCCATCACAGTCCCTTGGGATGTCTCTGTTCATGTATTAATTTCCAAGGAAAGGTTTTTAGTTTACTTCTCAATCTGCGTAAGAGCCCTTAGAAGGAAGGTACTTCAAAACATGCTATACATTCTGAAGACAATGGCAAACAGAAGAAAGTTAAGGAAGATAAATGTCTGACTACTTCTTTCTTCCATCCATACATACAAACGCACAACAAATAAATCCTAACAGTATACATCTTTAAAACAACTAAGAAAAGTTTTCCCTCAGTTTTCGTTCACAGTAACAATAACCAGAATACACATCAACAGTTCAGCATACATGTCTAAAATCATATCCACCAGAAAATAAACATTTTATGAACACTATCTCACAAGTATAAATACATCAAATCCACTAGCTTAAAGAAAAAATAACAAAAAAAAAAACAAAGGATACAGTCTATTATAAATAAACATTCCCATACATGAACTTCATAGAAAATGTTTTATATACCAGGATTTTTAAAAGTTTAACTCACCAACATGTCCCACACCCAGTAAGAGTTGTTACTGATATACTTCACAGAGCTACAACCAAAGAGTGACTTAAGGCAGTATGAGCTTAACATTCCTACATCTCTTGACTGTAGCTTGGTTGCATCATCATCATCATTATTGTTGTGTGTTTCTTTTTCACTACACTAAACTTCCAACATAAGCATTAATGGAAATTACCATTCCTATATTAACCAGCACATATCTAGCAAAGTATGAGTCTCCATTTTAAATTATATGGATAGCATAACTGGTCGTAAGTAATTGAAGACTTGACT